AGCTCAGCGCTAGCTCAGGCTGCGGGGCCCGCTGCAGAGAGGGCCGGGGGAATGAGGTGGGTCAGTGTGAGGACGGGGAAGGCGAAAGGGCGCTTGAACAAGCAAGGACTGGGGAGGAGGCATCTCCTGGGGAGAGGACCAAGGGGCTCACCCGGAGCGGGGATGGGAATTGCGAGCTTGGAGCTTGGCATGAGTAAAAAGGCTGGTGTGCTGGAGAGCTTTGTGGCAGGGGTGGAAGGAGCTGCATTGCTGGCCAGGGACCTGGGGAGGGCCTCTAGGCTAGAAGCAGGTGACTAAATTTTGGCTGAAAATTAAAAATCCAGGCTACAGAACAGTTGCTTCTGCTTATTAAAACCCTAAATTCTGTGCATCTGTCTTAATGGCCTTGAAAACTAATGCTCGGAAATCTTTACCCTCATCTGCTTCCATCCCTTAACTCTTCCCTTCCATCTGCTTGTGTCCCTCTTCCCAAAGATCGCAGAGCAGACCTGCCTGCCTGTGCCGTGGGCTCACAGGAGGTGCCTGTGTGTCTTGGGGTGAGGGTCACAGAAATCCTGGGGCATGTGGGAGTTGGGGGGTGCATGTCCCTCAAAAGCACGGAGCTCGGGAGGTGTGAAGGTGGCAGGGAAAAGTCTGGGCCTAAAGCAGCATCAGGACTGTGGTGCTCTGATCTTTTAAACAAGATTAAAAATTAAATGTAATTTGATGGAATTAATAAGGATTTTGTTAAATTCTGACCTGGTAATGCTGTAACAACACAAAAATAAACACTGTAAAAAACTGGCTCTGAAGTTAAATGTGAGACCTCAGGTTGAGTTATTGATGTTTTTTCAGATCTCCACAATGTCCAACCTTGTAAAAACCAAACTAGTATAATCACAAAAGTGAAACTAGATCTTACTGTTTATCACCTGTAGAAGAGAACTCTCATGTAAACAGGAGTACTGCTGCTTAGTGGCTGTTCGTATGGATTGCGTTAAAGGATACAAGAAAAGTGTTCTTAATGTCACCAAATACAACTTCTGCACTTGTTTCCTGAAAAGTTAAAAATCACCATGTGATCCATAGACACAATTATTGTGTTGTTTGTTGAATCATTTTATTTGCTTGATGCACATCCTGAAAACTGGTGTGCAACAGATGAGCCCAGTGTTCAGCAGAGGGAGTGTTGTATTTACTCAGACCTTCCTAAAAACTAATTTTTGATGTAAATTTCTGAACACTGGGGAGATAGAAAAGTGCAAGTCAGAAGTCAAAAGGCCCTTATGAGTTAAAATAAATTTTGCAGATCTTACTTAACTGTTAACACAGTAACTTAACCTAAAGTCAACAGTTAACCAGGAATTAATTTGGCCTGCAATCAAAATACAAGCAAATTATGATGTATTTCTTCCTGCACCTAAGTGAAGTTTTCCCCTGTTATTTAAAATCTTGTTTTCAAAGTTGTTGCCAGTATGTTAAAATTACATGGACATAGTGTGCTGTCCATCTTCTGAGTTCTGTGAAAATAAAAGTATTCACTGTCTAGGTATTTTCACTATGTTTTTCTTCTTATTTTGAGACGAACCACCAGGAAGTAATAAATACCAAACATTACCCAAGAGTTATCGATACCCGTGCTCTTCGTATGACTTCATAGGAGGAGGCAAATAACCCTCCTTATCATTGACGACACAACCTTTCATACTCAGGATTGGCAAAGCTTTTTAATAACAAGCTTAGTTTTGCATTAATGTAGGACATAATTGTTCATATCTGTTGAGTGGAGCTCCTGCCTAAACAGAGAAGTGCTCTGTGTTAAGGAAGGGCTTGTTCTGTGTAGGCAAAGGTCTTACATTAGAGAGTGAGTTAAAGTGAGCTGATTCAACTTATTCCAGTAGATCTTGTAACAGTTTAAATTTATAGTGATGTACAGCTAAAAGTGACCTGCAAAAGCAGAAAAAAGGGTAGAAGAGTATTTAATGTAAAAGAAGAAAACTGCAAACATTTATTTTTTCTAGTCATATTGCTACTGTTGACAGGCTCAGGTGGTGACTGAAAACTTGGGGTGTTCTAAATTATGTCGTCCTAATTGAGGGTGAAAAGCATTCTGTATTTTTTTAAATTCCTATTTAAATAAACTGCTGTAAGGATTCCGAGGAGACAACCTGGGCTGTTCTAACAGTGAGAGTAACAACATGTTCCTGTTATTTATTCAGTGTCTCACAGTTGCAGTTACATACTGGTAATTCCAAATATTATTGATGAACCTAAAGTCTGTCAAAAAAAGCATGAAGACTTGACTGATGAAAACAAAAATCACCCTCAAAAATCTAAAGGGACAACATCTTTTTCTGTGTCCTCTTTAAGTATGAGGAAAATAAAAGCAAAAAGACTACACCCTTTTTTCACTTCAGGTCAACTTTTACTAATAACAGCTAAATCAGTGGGATTTAATGCAAATGCCTGGGTTTTTTCCCTTCTGTGCTTCCCTATTACTTCTTTTTAGTGCCACAAAGAATGCCCACTCATGCAAATGTTATGCACATAACTTAAATGCCTGAAGAATATGCAGATGCATTTGTATGACTGGTCAACAATTTAGGTGTTTTTAAGATATATCAAGGAAAAAAAAATATTTCAGTGCTGTGGCTTTTTCTCTATGATTTTGCAGCTGAATTTACTGTGTTCTGTGCAGAATGGCTGTTGATGGTGGGTGTGGGGACACTGGAGACTGGGAAGGTCGCTGGAACCATGTAAAGAAGTTCCTCGAGCGATCTGGACCATTCACACATCCTGATTTCGAGCCAGGCACTCAAGTGAGAAACAATTTAAATCAATTTGTAGCGTGTGTTGCAAACTCATGTAAACAGTTTCATTCCTTGACCACCAGCAATGTATGGATACTAAAGCTGCGTGAAAAGCTTCTGTTTTAGTCACTTGCACATTATGATTCTAGACGAAAATACTGTATTCTTTTTATAAGCTTGTATTTCTAAATTGTACAGTGTCGACTACAAATTTGCTGTCATCTTATGTATAGATAATGTAATAACATATTAATTATGCTCTTTGAGTTCCACATAAAAAATAGCAGCATTTGTCACTCCATTTTTAAGTAATTAGACACAGTAAGGAACTGTTTGCACTTTAAGCAGGAAATACGGTTAATAGGAATGCTTAGAGAATTGAGAACGAATATTTAGTAGGGAAAAACAAAATTTAGACTGTTTAATTATTTCTTCTACTTTCTTTTTTTTGGTAAATTTTGCTTCACTGCTTATAGTTGAATGTATTATACTATTACCTTTATAATCTGGTGTTCCATTATTTACTAGTTTGAGACTGGTGTCTAGTAGAACAGTTCACTAAAAGCATTTATATTGTTTACCTTGAAATTCTTTTTAGCCAGCGATGTTGTCTCTCTTGTATTACATACCAGTAAAATATTCAGAGGAAGAAAACTATGTCTTTTAACTGAAAAATAATAGAGCTGGTCCTTGTTTTTTTCATGGTCAAAATTAATTTAAACAGAATACTGATTATCAACAAAGGTCTTGCTTTTCTGTAAATTAGGATGTAGGAACTGCATGGACTTAACAACTGATTAAAGTCTTTATAATTACTTCCGCAAGTACAGACTGTTTTATTGATCATTATGTGAAGCTTATTAGGCACTGGAAATGTATGGTAATGCATTTATAAGAGTTATGAAACAAAGGACATATTATACATTTTCCTTTCTAGTGCATTAATTTTTTGTTTTATATTTTCTGCAGGCTCTTGAGTTTTTGTTAAACACATGTAAAGTACTAGTTATTGGAGCAGGTGGATTAGGTTGCGAGCTCCTGAAAAACCTGGTAATTACTCAGTTTTCACACTTTGCTTCTCAGAATCTTTTTCTTGATGAAATTTTCTTTTCTGCTTTGTTCATTTGGCAGTTTTGGTTGTATATAGCTCCTCAAGTTCTAATCAAATGGTATAAAATACGTGATACAGACTATTAACTTTGTTAATAAGCTTGAAAGGTGATAGCTAATAAATCATATGCAACATATTAGACTATCTCAAAGTTGTTATAAGGGACAGAAAACATGGTACTTGCTTATGAAGTGTAGACAAAAGTTCACCCCCAGCCTTGTCTGATGTTGGTAATTTTCTCTGACTACCACCAGATCTAGGGAAATGAAGTAAAATTCCAACCAAAGATGCTCACAAAGCTACAAGGAAGTGTTGTTTGAAATACAATGGCTGAAATTAAATTGCCATAAGTAGCTAGTACAAAGTTTAGTATCAACAGTCAAAGTTGAATTCAATTCCAATTTAATTTACATCTTTAGATTAATTTAAAGTGAGGTTAGAATAGCTGAAATTATTTATATTCTTTCATGGGGAAATTAGTAGTGCCAAACTTACTGTGCCTATGGTGACCTTTATGTCCATGGAATCCATTTGGTCTTCTCAAGTAGTCGCTTTCCTTTAGTGGTTTTCCAGTTCCTCAGGATCAGTAAATTGGAATTTGTCTGCAGAACCTGAACATTCCCTCAGAGTTGTGTCTGAATTCAGCCTGTGTAATGGCAGCTTCATTGAGTCAGACCAACAGTGCTATATAAGTTATATATATAATACATAAGTTGATTAAACAAATAGGAAATCAGTTTCTTGATACAGCATTTTAAATACTTAGTACATATGGAATGTCTCTGTTTATTCAGAAAATGTAAAATGTAAAGTTTGGAAGTCATTATATATAAAAAGATTGAGTCTTAAAAGAAAAAAACAGAGGGGATGGGACTCAGTTTTTTTGGGGTCACTTCAGAACATTACAACACATCTCCTTTCTCTCCTTTAGCCACAATTTGTATTGTTTCTTTGTGCATGACGGATGTCATTACTTTATCAGATCAGCCTTGCAATACAGTTTTAAAACAATTTACAGTTATTTACTCAATCTAGTGATGAGCTGCATGCAAACAGAGGTCAGGTAGAACCTCTGTCAGAGCCTGGGTGTGCTCTTAGGTAGTCAGGTGACCTTCTGTGTTTGCATTCTATTCCAGCATGGAATGCAGTGAGGGATGCTGGCTTGTTTTGAAGTAGGATTTGAGGCTGAACATCCCAGTCTCATTTATGCCAACTGTGAAAATGGTGCGTGCTCAAAATGAAACTTTTTCTATTCCTGCCAAGCAAGGAAGTGTCTGTGTTATTTCTTCAAGACCTGCTTTTTTTCCCCAAAATTAATGCTCAGCCCACCATTGACTTCCCTGTGTTAGGATTAAGTAGGATAAAGCCATACTGCACTCAGGAGAACATTGTCTTTGAGCACTGAAATGTTACTAATTCTATCTGACCAAACATCAGCATTACCCACCCAACAAAGAGCACTGTTCTGAGAAGGAACAGCCATGTACCTGTCTGCAGGGAATGAAGAGCAAATACATTTGTTCCTCCAAAGGTTGATTTTTTGGCATGTGGAATTAATTTTGGAGCACTGTAAGGATTTCATTTCCTATTAAATGAAGTTGGCTATCTTTTTTTCACAGGCACTGTTGGGCTTTAGGCAGATCCATGTTATTGACATGGATACTATAGATGTTTCTAATCTGAACCGACAGTTTCTGTTTCGGTAAGTGATAATTTCACAATTCAATTAAAAAAACCCCAAACCTAAACGTATGTAAATGTAAAATATTATAATTATTTTGGTTAAACAAGGTGTCATTAAAGATTACTGAACCTTCACATCACAGTATTACTCATAATTAACTAAATGCTGCATGTGATTCCTTCTTGACACCTGTGGTGTCATAGTTTGACCATGATAAAAAATGACACACATTCCTTACCATTCAAATAAGCTGACTAATGCAAAAGGTGACACCAAAAATTAAAGCTTACAGGTTGAGGTGCCAGTTTTTCTGATACCCTTTCCTTCCAAGCAAAATGAAAAATGGTTGGAGTTTTTTTTTGTGCTGATAACTGTAGTTACATGGACATATTAGATAACTCTGGGGCTCTCTCCCTTACAGGGATTCCTTAATGTTAATCTGTATAAGTAAATTGTCCTGTAGTAACAATTAGTTAATTCAGTATTGCAACACATAGAGTCTGGAAAGATGGAATCTACTAAAATGATTGATGCATTTGAAATGGCTTGTTTATTTCCCCAGACCAAAGGATGTTGGGCGACCAAAAGCAGAAGTTGCAGCAGAATTCCTGAACAGCCGCGTTCCCAACTGTGCTGTTGTAGCGTATCCTTTTGTAGACAAGTAGTAGCCCCAAAAGCTTCAAAAGGCCCTAGAAAACTCTGTAGGTGGTAAGATTATCTAAAGTATTTTGCTGCCATCCTCTTTTTTCTACAATAAAGAACAGATTCATTCACAATCACAGCTGGTGATTGAGAATTCTTTCTTGGTGGTGTTAGCATGCAGGAAATCCATGTGGGGAAATAAGGCAGAAACTATTTTGTGTCTTTCCACTGAGTAATTTTTATTCAAATGTCATATGCTGATTTTCACTGAGATATCAGAATTGCAGGTTTATTCCCTAGAGTGTTTTCAGTATGTACTTGTAGGAAATGCTAGTTCATAAACGTAGAGGAGCACTTAGTGATGCAGGACTTTGAGAGCACATTCTGAGGTTCCTGCATAGTCAGCCTGCTGAGCTTTCTGCTGTGTGTGACTATTACAGTGCGTCCCTTACTTGTTTTGTCAGATGCCATAGCTTCAGCTTTGGGAATTTTGAATCTTTCAATCACTTAGGTCTTTTAAAAAATGTAATAAAATTATAGTAATAAATTGGACAGTGCTTTGGCTTTAGGTTAGCAAATAGAAAACAATAAACTTATCTGCTTTATTAGTATATTCCTTTACTGGACTTACATTCAGATATTTTAAAAAGATTCAAGACATGGATGAAAGCTTCTACAGACGTAAGTGGTATTTGTTTGTCTGCCAAACACCCACGGGTGCTTTAAGAGAACATTGGAGTTGTTACTGCTTGTTGCTTGCTTTTCCTGGTAGTTAGGTTGCTAATTATTTTAGGGTTCTACAATATTCTAGAAGTAAAAGTAATGGACAGACAAAACTTAAATGCATCTGACATGTAAGTACTCTAGGGGAAATAGTTAATCCACAGTCAGTTCCTCTGGACTGTTATGGACAGAATAGTTGGATTGTCTTAAGAAGTGTGCATTAGGATAGTCTTTAAATAATGTTTTTTTTCCCCCTTAGAGTTTCATATTATTGTTTGTGGGCTGGACTCTATAATTGCAAGAAGATGGATAAATGGCATGCTGGTAAAGTCTTCAGTCTTTTAAAAGCCTGGTTATTGCTTGAGTGTAGATAACTAAAATGGAACAGATTTGTGTTGAATGTGTCATTAAAACGAACTGGGGGTGCTGTTGAAATGGACAGCTTTCTGTATCTCTTCCTGTTTTCTCTTTTCTTTTTGTGAACAGGACAAAATGCAGGCTGTCTTGTTACCTTTTTCTTGAGGAATGTTAGCCAACATTTGCGCAATGCCCTGCAGGGGTAATTTCGAAGTTAGATTACATTGTAGTCAGCTTTTGTGCAGTCAGCTTTTGAAAAGCCTAAGAAGGGAAGTTCCAGAGCCTCTCTGGATGCTGCTATTGTGAATGTGCTTTGTTTTTTTTCATTAGTCAAATAGTACTTACTGTGCTGCAACTTGTAAATGTCATCTTTTGGAGCCTTGCTGCTACTAAAGTAGTAGAAAGCTGGTCATTGAACTAGCTTCCTTTGTTTATAAAAGAGTGATCTTGAATATTTCCCAGTATTTCAAAAGAAAAAAACAAAGCAACAAACCAAGAAACAAAACCCTAAATCCTTCAAACCAACCAACCATTTGTTCTGGTACACTTAAAGGAAATAGCATTTATCAGAGGGTAAGGGCAGAATGAAGTGGAGGGTGAAAGTGGTATATGAAGTCCTGTGCACTGAGAAATAAGTAGTTTTATACACTATGCATTCTTAAAATAAACTGTAGATTAAGTTATCAATCTCAAGGTGTAACAGGTTGCCATTAAGAAAAAATATTAGGATTTCTTTTCTTCCTGTGACTTGTTCCAAAAAATCAAATGGAACAAAACCAAACAACTCCTTCCTTTATTCCTCAGATGTCATTTTTACATTATGAAGATGGTGTACTGGATCCAAGCTCCATCATACCTTTAATAGATGGAGGGACAGAAGGTTTTAAAGGAAATGTTCGTGTGATTATTCCTGGTATGACAGCATGTGTTGAATGCACACTTGAGCTTTATCCACCACAGGTAATTGCAACCAGAAAGACTTCATTTTTTTACATCCCTCTGATCTGCTTGTTTCTTTTCCTAGAGCTTTACATAATGTGTCACATGCTTGCTTCTGGTTTTCTTCCCCTGCCCACACCAGGTCAATTTTCCCATGTGTACTATTGCATCTATGCCCAGACTACCAGAGCATTGTATTGAGTATGTCAGGATATTGCAGTGGCCAAAGGAGCAACCTTTTGGAGGTAATTAGTAAATTGCACTCCTGCTAAACTGACATTTCTCCTTTTCACTCATTTGATCTGAGTTGGGTGTACACACTTACTTTTAATAAAACCTGCCTACCTTTTAACCTTTTGTGGCTTATTGTCATATTGAATCTAAGCTTCTTCCTAGCTGGTGATGGATTGTCTCTTCTTGCACTTGCTCTCTGGTTCCACACTTGTTTATGTGCTTCTCTCCCTTGCACTGCACGTCTTTTCAGACTCCAAATGAAGCCTGTAACAGCTCTGTAAATCTGTGAAGACAGTTTATGGATAGGAATTGTTAGAACTTACAGTGTTTGTAAAAATGATGTTTTGATTATTTAAAGTGTCAGTTTTTATAATAGAGTATTAGTTTTAACCCAAATTACAACAAAGGGATTTTTTTTAGACAAAAAGAATGCTGCATTTCTGAAGAACTCATAATTTATCTGTAAATATCTAACTTTGCTGTAGAAGGTGTTGCATTGGATGGAGATGACCCTGAACATATACAGTGGATTTACCAGAAGTCTTTAGAAAGAGCATCACAATTTAATATTAAAGGTGTTACATACAGACTCACCCAAGGTAAGGGCCTGGCATTTCACTACATTTGTGGCATTTTAGATTAGGCTGTATTGGCCTTCTTTGTATTTGTTATGATTAAGCTGGCAGCTCTGCTGAGAAAGAAACAGTTCTTTTCTCCCATAACATCTTAAAACAGAAACAAGCAGCTTGTTTCCTGTGCCAGCACAAATATTTTATGATGAATCAGATGTTCAGGCATTCATGATGAATCAGAGGAACTTATCTGGGACAAAACTGTACATTCTTTTCACCGTTTATTTTTAACCTGGACCAGCTCCACAGTTTACATGACACTGGCCACTTTTGCTAGGTCAAAGGGTAGAAACAAAAGAAGGTGATTGCCTCTTTCAGTACAGCAGCACTTCTGCCAGTTTAAGCTGCTTAAGACCATAGCATCTTTTCTTTACTGCTGTGTAGGTCTTCCTTCACATGTAAGTGCAGAATGCTGCCACTCATTTAATCAGCATTTTAAATACTAACCAAATAGAAAAGAAGTGGAGAATCTCATACAGAATCTCCAGATTTCTTTGTTTCTTCATAACTTCGTTTGTTTATTTGTAGTACTGAGAGTAGATTTGAACTGCTGAGCTTGAAATGCCACACCTGAGCCTCAAAAAAGTGTGAACTGATTCCTCCTGTATCTTCCTCAGATTCCAACTGCTGCATTGCAGACAGTATTTTTCTTTGCAGCAAGTTTATCCTGGCTTCTGTAGCAGTATTTTTAATACATATAAATGTAAACTCCAGTTACAAAATATAATTATGTACATGCAAACGGCTGCATGTATTTCAGCATCTGAAGATGGGTTCATGATAAAGAACAGAAGGAAGGCAAAGAGAAAAAAATTATGCATTTTTTCTGAGGTATGAAGGGTTACAAAACAGTAATGAGAAGCCAGAGGAATTCCAGACTAGTTAGGAATTTGCTGTCTTTTTGGCAGGCCTGAAAAAAGAGTGAACTTCCTTGTTCCCAGTGTGCAAACCTGTGTGCACAGCAAGTCTTGCTTTCTGTCACTGTGGGTACTGTGCTGTTGGGCTGGGTGGGCTCAGTTGGATGGAGATGGCAGTGCAGTTTGGCAAGCCTGTTCTTGCAGAAGAAAAACCAAACCTAAATATATTTCTATTATTTATTTATCCAACAAACCAGGAATAGAACTGAGTTGTAAATTAATTTTCAGTGCTAAATGCAGAGTATTTGTTTCTAGAATTTTTCACTCGTTCCCTTTGTGTGATACCTTCTTTTTCTCAATATGCTTAGTCCATTCCTCGAATTAAGAAGTGCCCAAGTATTTGAGCAGGATGCCATTGTGTATTATTGTTAGGGAAATTCCTGGAAAGTGTTTCAAGTACCTTTGGGTACATCCTTTTGTATTTATTCTGAGTAAAGGTTGTCAGTTCTCAGTATAGTTTCTTGGGAAGGACAAAGCTGTGTGTTCTGTTTTACAGGGGTGGTTAAACGAATTATTCCAGCAGTAGCTTCTACAAATGCAGTAATTGCAGGTATGCTAAAATAATTCATTTCACTTCTGCATTATAGACTTCAGAGTTGTGTAAGGCAATGGTTTGGAATAGAGAGCTTGAGGAGCTAAATTGTAATTCTTAAATGGTCTGATTTATTCTTGCAGTCTCGTTTCTGTTTTCCATAGAGAAACCGCCTGTGATTGTAAATTTTAAGCTCAAGTAGGGGTATGGGAGTGAGCAAAAGCATTTGAGTCTGAGGGGAAAAAAGGAAAACATGCAATATAACCTTAACATAGTCTCAGGTTGGTGCTGAATGGATGGTGTTAAGGCATGGAACTACCAGCTGCCTTCAGATGCTTATTTTTCTCTTTAGAAATGTTTATACTCATTGGGGTTTTTTTGGCACTTCTTTTGTGATACAGTGTTGTGCACTAATGTCTGCTTGTTCTGAAACAGAGCTACAAAGTGAAGAAATTGTTTTTTCTCATTCCAGCTGTTTGTGCCACTGAAGTTTTCAAAATAGCCACAAGGTATTTCATTTATGATTAATAACATACATGATTTCCAACCTAGTGACACGTATTAACACTAACTTATCTGTCATTGTAGTGCGTACATTCCTCTTAACAACTACTTGGTGTTTAATGATGTGGATGGATTATACACATACACATTTGAAGCTGAAAGAAAGGTTTGTACCATTAAAGGCTTGCAGGGTTGTTTCCTTGGGTTTTCTTGAATTTAGGCAGTTATTGTGTATTTCTGAAACTGAGTATTGAACCTCTTAGCCCCTAGCACTGAATAATAATGGTAGGACTTTTTTAAAAGAACTTCTATGGTTATTTACCTCCAGATCAACACAAGTTTTATCTGATGTCCTGGTAATGAAACTTTTTCTTCTACCCATCAGTTTACCAAAAACTATTGCATTGTATATGTAATGGCATATTTCAGTTTTTGCCTGTTCAGCCAAAATTTGTTGAACAACAGCTACTTCTGTGGTGCCTGTTAGGGCAGCATTGGCATTGCAGCTGTTCCTGCTGTGCTACCTGCAGAGAAAAACTACCTGACTTTTTGGAAAGGGAATTCTGAAGATTTCCCCTGTGATACAAGAAACGTGGTTTACAAAATAAGATACGTAATCTTAAGAAGACTCATAAGCAAATCTTCTCAAAAAGTGGTTATAACAGTTGATGGTTAAGCTTATAGGCTTAAATGTCATGTCAGATGAAATTTGTAAATACTTGGCTGCTGTTGAGAGCCAGTCAAACAGTGACAGGCTTCACAGGAGCTGGGTTTTGTCCTTAATATTTGCAACAGCATTTCTAGAGCTAAAACTTTTTTTTTTTAAAGACAAACGCACAAATAGTTTTGAGACCTAATTTGCAGCATTTTAAAAATCATATTTAACGTAACTTGTTTTCTTGTGCTACTCTGTTGTAGGAGAACTGCCCAGCCTGCAGCCAGCTTCCCCAAAACATAGAGATTTCCCCATCAGCTAAATTGCAGGAGATCTTGGATTACTTGACCAACAATGCTTCACTGTAAGTGTGCAACTGTTCTGCAATTGATTTGATAATTTTTGATAATTTAGTGTTTCAAAAGGGTAATTTCTAAATGCTTTTTTACTTGATTGGTTTTGTTTAATACATACAGGCAAATGAAATCTCCTGCCATCACAGCAACTATGTATGGGGGAAATAAAACACTTTATTTACAGGTAATCCAAACATATATGATTGTCTTTGTTTAAATTTACTTTTCTGAATTTGAAAGGCAAAGTTTTGGCTTCTTTTTCCTTTTTTTTTTCTTCAGACAGTAGCTTCAATTGAAGAACGGACGAGGCCGAATCTTTCCAAGACACTAAAAGGTATCAGGTGTAGATTTTTAATAGGCTTCTCTCAACAGAAATCAGTCAGTTTTGTGTTTAGCTTTCCTTTGCACCAGGCAGTAGAATCTCCTTCATTAATGCTTTTACATGGAATACACCTTTCTCTGGTTGCTCAGGGATGAGCTTTGAGTTGTTTAAATGTGAAGTGTGGGCAGATGTGATCTGATGGAGAAAAACATTGCAAGAAAGCAATGGTAACTGATGTAGATTAAGTATCCTTCAGTATTGTTTGATGTGTTTCTTGACAAGAAACCTGTTAGATTTCTAGTTGAATTAGATTAATATTAGTTTTATCAGTGAGTTGATCGCAGGTTTATTTCTCAACATTTATGGTTTGTGGGAATGGGGTTCCTAACTTTGTTTTTCTTAAAGAAAAATCCAAAAATCAAACCACGTGCGTTTGCTGTATTTAGTTTTCTTTCTGTTTCAGAATTGGGGCTTGTGGATGGCCAGGAGCTTGCAGTTGCTGATGTCACTACACCACAGACTATGCTGTTCAAGCTTCACTTTACCACTTAATTTATTCATAAGTAAACTGCATATACAGCAGGAGGCATCTGTACCCACCTTGTAAAGCAAATGTACTCTGTGGGTGTTAAGGCAACCCAAAACGTTCATGTTAGTACTAGCATTGTTGAAGGTTAGGTAATCCAATGAATCATCCTATTTCACAATTGTATGTAGAAGCCAATATTTGGTGGATTATATTTGTATAAATACTTATGAATGTACAGAACTCTGATGTATAGGAAAACACTTTCCCCCCACCAGTTTTTGTTGTCAAAATGTCAATGTTAATATACCTTCAGACACATGGAAATTTCAAGGTGGCCAAAAGTTTGGTTTTAAATTGGAGCACTCCCTTACTTGCTAAGTTACCTTAAAACCAAAAGAGGGCAGAAGATTAAAATGATTTGATATTGATGAGATGTTTGATGAGATTTATGAAAAGTGTGAAGTATGAAAGATTAACTTCGTTTACAAGCAAATGTGAAAGGACAAACCAAACAGCTGTACATGAAAACAGAGACCTGTCTGCTCACAGGCCCCACACAGTGCTGCAAGATTATGTTCAAGTATCATTGGTGCTGTTAAGGTATTTATTAATAAAAAATCATAAAGACACTTTATTTTTGTGGCTTATCAATGGACATTCAGCGGCGTTGAGAACTGATGAAACAAATCTGGGGCCTCACCTGGCTGCCAGTTCTCTCCTTTGACTTTGTGTGCATCAGCCGTGCTTAAACCTTCCATCTTTCAGCCTCGAGCTGCCACGGGGGCACTGCACTCTTTAAGTAGTTTTTAGCAGTTCTGTGGCGTTTTGTAAGCGTTAAAAAGGCCTCACACGAACTGTGGGGACGGAGGCGACTTGGGGCGGAGGTGCCCTCCGCTCTTATGTGAAGGAAGTGCTGAGAAGCCGCAGCTAAAGTTGTGTTTTTCACCCCTAATCC